TGTGTGTGTGTGTGTGTGTGTGTGTGTGTGTTGTGACTCCGAGACTTGAACCTAATCAATCAGCAGATGTGGGTTCCAGCGAGGAAGAAGATCTGGCATTGAGATTCGAGCCTGCATTGCTGAGCGACCTTGAGAGGAGTCTGGGGGAAGAGGAGGAGTTGAATCTGAGAGATGAACCTGATTTATTAGAAGTTTCAGAGACTTCTTCCTCTTCTGGAACTCCCTCCCTGATTGCACCTCAGGTGTTAACTGTTAATCAGGAAAGTGTATCAGAGGATTCCAGCTGTGATGAAACTGCCGGATGCTGGCTGGATGCCAGAACTAGGAGAAGATTGAGACGTCAATCTCAATTAGAAAAGAGACGTCCAGCAAAGGATTAATTAATGAGACTGACACGCCCTTTCTTAGAGGATATAAGGGTGTGCATGACTTTGAAATATTTGCTGGAAAACAAAGTGAATCTTGCCTTGGGAAGACTTGCATCTGATTTACTGCGTTGTGAGTTATGAACTTTACAGAATTGCCGGACAGATTCTAGGAGGATTGCCAAAGGACTGTGATAACAGAGCAATTCAATCTTCTGACTCCGGATTTGTTTACGTAAAGTATTTGAACTATATTACTTGAAGTTTCATCTGTGGATACAGGTGGAACAGAACATATATGTATATATATATGTGTGTATGTGTATATGTGTGTGTGTGTGTGTGTGTTTGTGTGTGTCTTGCCTGCGGTTTATTTCATGGAAAAGAATACTTCGCCGTATCTATATTTTTTGATCATCTGTAAAATTTACATTCTGTTACATTTTTGACAAATGATTTCACATTAGGGCTGTGCCGGTGCATCTCCCTTACATTCAGTTCTTCACCCAACCTATCTATAATTTGAATGTTGAATCCGAACAGTGGGATGAAAACTGTTTTTGAACTTGGATCTAGTTCTGCACTGAATTGCAATTGTTGGAAGTTCCTTCTTAGTGTCTAATTTTCTTAAAAATGAGTTTTTGTGACAGACCATACTCTTTGTGGCAGCCATGTTGTAAGCTTGATTTTGACACCTTCTCAAAATTCAGGGTTGTTTTTTTCATTGTCCCAAAATATTGTGTGAAGCTTGGTTTATATCTACTTCCACCAGATATTTAGAATATCTAATTATTGTTTTGAAGCCGAAGAGTTTTTCCTAACACTGTATCTTCTAAACATGTTGAGCTCCAGGTCAATGTCCATAGAAAGATGTTCTTGTTTTCCTAATTAACTGTACTTTTTGTGACAAGAAAGCTGCATACACAATAGAACCTGGGTAGTATTTGTTAAAATGTTGATTTTGAACTAGCAGAAAAAGCACACATCCCACATTCTCCACATATATTTTATTCTACTGTTTGTTTGGGTTTTTGGCATAATGCAATTATTTTTACCATTTAAACAGCTAAATAAGTTATGATTGGATTGTTATTTTATTTATTTATTTATTTGATTTGTCAATTGTTTACAAGATAATAAGTACAAGTGTATACATAGTTGTGAATATATGAAATGGGTACATATAAGAAAAATAAAAGAATAAGAGAAACAATAGGACAGGGACGGTAGGCACGTTGGTGTGCTTATGCACGCCCCCTACAGACCTCTTAGGAAAGGGGTGAGGTCAATAGTAGACAGTCTAAGGTTAAAGTTTTTGGGGTTTGGGGAAGAGACTACAGAGTCGGGTAGAGTATTCCAGACATTGACCACTCTATTGCTGAAGTCGTATTTCCTGCAATCAAGTTTGGTGCGGTTTACTTTGAGTTTGTATCTGTTGTGTGCTCTTGTGTTGTTATGGTTAAAGCTGAAGTATTCATTGACAGGTAGGACATTGCAATGTATGATTTTATATACCATGCTTAAGTCGGACCGAAGACGGCGTAATTCGAGGTTTTCTAGTTTTAGAATTTCGAGTCTGGTGGCGTAAGGTATTCTATAACGGGTAGAAGAGTGGAGAACTCTTCTTGTGAAATACTTCTGGACTTTCTCAATTGTGTTAATATCACATACGTGATAAGGATTCCAGACTGATGAACTGTATTCGAGTATTGGTCTAGCAAATGTTTTGTATGCTCTGGTTAGTAGTGAGATATTACCAGAGAAAAAGCAACGTAGGATTAGGTTAACAACTCTTAATGCCTTTTTGGCTATGTAGTTGCAGTGAGCTCTAGCACTTAGATCATTAGAGGTGAGTATTCCCAGGTCCTTTACAGAGCTTGGGTCATCAACAAGATCTTGACTATTCAGCTTGTATTTTATTTTCTGATTTTTTTTACTAATATGTAAGACAGAGCATTTATTTGTTGAGATTTGGAGTTGCCATATGTTAGACCATTCAGATACATAGTCTAGATCTTTTTGAAGGGTAGTAGTATTGTCTGTGGTATTGAACAGCTTTACATCATCAGCGAAGAGAACGCAATTGCTCTTGATATGATCACAAAGGTCGTTTATGTAGATTATGAAGAGAGTTGGTCCTAGAACACTGCCTTGGGGAACACCACTATTGACAGGTACTGGATTTGATAGGGCGTTCCCAATTTTGACCATTTGTTGTCTGTTTGACAGGAATGCTTCTATCCAGTTATTCAGTTGTCCAGAGATACCATAAGATTTTATTTTTAGGAGTAGTTTGTCGTGTACCACTGAATCAAAGGCTTTGCAGAAGTCTATGTAGATTGCGTCTATTGCTTTGCCCTGGTCGAGTTGAGTAGTCCATATGTTTTTGCAGTGTAAGAGTTGCAGATTACAGGATAGTTTTTTTCTGAAACCAAATTGTTTATTGGAGAGTAGGTTGTTTGTCTCTAAATGGAGGATGATGGATTGGTTAATAATTGATTCCATGACTTTACAGGTGACGCAGCATAAGGAGATTGGTCTGTAATTTTCAACTAGGCTTGGGTCTCCCTTTTTGAAGATGGGAATGACTGTGGCTTGTAACCATAGGTTGGGCAAGGAGCTGGTTCTGAAAGATCTTTCAAAGATTATGCTTAGAGGTTTGGCTATGGCAGCGGATAGTTTTCTTAAGAAGTAGGCACATATTCCATCCGGTCCAATAGATAGAGATGGTTTTAGGTTGCGTAGTGCTTTTTCAACGTTGTCTACTGTAAAATCGATATGTATTAGATCATTATTGTTGTCTGTGGTACGGCTAGGAAACATTGGGCATGATCCATTACTGTTTACAAACACTGAGCCGAAGAATGTGTTAAAGATGTTGGCTTTAATGGTGTCGTCGCTGCAGTCTTTACCATCAGGTCCTATCAAGGGAGGGATGGACCTTGAGTCTTTTAGTTTGTTGTTTACAAAATTGTAAAAAGCACGGGTGGAATTGGTGCTTAGAAGGTTTTCCTCTTGTTTAATGTGGTAATTGGTGCATTCGGTCTTTATCTGGTGGCATAAATTTTTATATCGGTTTTTGAAATTAGCAACGTGACCAGATTTGTTTTTCCGCCAGAGTGATCTCTTTTTGGATTGAAGTTTCCTTATTGATATGGGTAATCTGCTTTTTTGTTTTGTTTTTGGAGTTGTTGTTGGAACATATAGTTTGATGACTCTTTTGACTTCAAGTAAAAATATGTTGTAATGATCTTCAACAGTATTGCATCCAGTGAATAGAGATTGCCAATCGAGGGATGAGAGATCGTTATCTATAAGATCATAATTGCCTTTTTTGAAGTTACAACTAGGGATGACATCGTTGTGGTGATTTTTGCGTGGACGTATGTTGAGACAAAAGTCAATCATATTGTGATCACTACTGGAAAAGGGTTCTTTGGTTTGTATTCGGTAAATTAAATTCAAACTATTGCAGAAGATGAGATCGAGGCAGTTGTTCAGTCTAGTGTTGTTGGTTACTAGTTGTTCAAGACCTAGATTTGTAATAGCATTGAAGAAGGTTGTGTGTATGATTTCAGTTGTACAATTATTTAGGGTCCAGTCAATATGAGGTAGATTGAAATCTCCAAGAAAGATAAAAGGGTATGGGCAGGATGTAGCCCATGTTAGTAGTGTATTTAGCTTGTTTATATGTTCGATGTCATAATCAGGTGCTCTGTAACATAGTAAGAATCGAATTGTGATATTTAAGGATAGTTCACAGATGATGGTTTCAGGAAGGGCAAGCTCCTGGGTAACTTGGATATTTTTTATTTTATTGGATATTTTTTATTGGATATTTTTTTGCCAAGACACCCAATAGCACTTCTTTATCTGCAGCTATATGTAGAAATTTGCCTTTTCCTTGGATTATGAATGACTTCCATCAAAAGGGAACCACTGCCAAATAAGCATTATACTTATGAAAATTATATTAAGAAACTGGATTTTAAAAAAACACCCTATCAATTCTAGATACTTAAGGGCATCGCCCCATTAATTTCAAGAGACCGGCAGGAAGAAGGCAACTAGACACAAAACTTAAAACATTCTTTCTCTAGTCTGTTTATTAATGGTTTGGCTACCAAAGGTGTATAGAAATGTTTTCAGAAATCACTAGATCAGTTCGAAAAAAACTCATTTAACTTGATCTTGATATTTGCAGCAGTCAATCATAACAGCTGTTGTAGATATTCCCTGTTCCATATGGAATTTTTGCACTATTCCCACCAGCCAAAGGGGTTGTCTGCTATCACCACACTAATGCAAAAGCAACCTTTCTTTAATTGTTGTTATCAATGAAAGCTATTTCCAGAATATTCAGTCTTAAACCCAGCAATTTATAGAAGCTAGTAGCTCAAAAACATTATTGCATGCTTACCAACTCAGCACTGGTATTATGTTTTTGGCAAGCAGTCAGATACCTTCCTTAAAAATACTTCTAATAGTTTTCTGAAAATAATTTGAGTAATTCCTGAGATGTACCGAAATCAAAACATCAAAACAATATGCTAGCCACCCACAGTAGTTTTGTTTTAGGCTACTGCTTTCATTTTATTTTATTCATCCAGAATAGAATTTGTTACTCTGACCAGCTCTGATGATAGAGAGGAAGAAGCTTTACTGCTCCTATGTTTATAGTTTAGGTATACACCATATTATAATGAAAATGTTCGTTGTCCTACAAAGGGATGTACCACTGCAACAACCTTGAAGATTTTATAACTGGCTTCTTTGTACTTTTCATGACACATCGCAGTTGAGAAGAAATAACTGCCTGTCCCTAACAATGGAGTTCATCTTCCCAATCTGCAAGGCAGAATAAAACTAGGACTACAGTGTTCACCCTCTGGATAAAGACAAAAACTGAATGCAGCTGAGGGTACGAAAACCTAACTGGAAAAAGAAACTCTGAGAAACCATTGCTCTGAGACAACATTGGAAACTTTCAGCTGAAGCAAGTTTGTACCTTTTTAGTCCACAGAAAGGACTCTCATATTATTAGAACCTAAGAACACAATCAATTTCAGGATGCGTCCTGTAGATCTAATTCTTGATCTAAGCAGCATGAACAGTAACATTGGCTGTGCAGAAGTGTTCTTTTCCTCTGTTTCAACAGACAGATGTGCAATTCAGTTCTGCAGGCTCCTCCATGTCTGGGGTGGCCAGTTCTTCTGGTCCATCTGCTATGCTGGGCTCACTAGAAAACTGTCTGTGGTTCAAACTGGGTTGCAAGAGGAGACACTGGTCGCCATTGTCTGGTTCTTCTGCTAGCATGCCTGAGTGCATAATGGAAGCCATGGCCAACAGCTGGATATCTGAATGAGCATTGGCGACAGTATGCCGACGGATGCTCCCACACTTCTCAAGGTAAGCCTCACCCTCCTGTTCAGTCAGGGGTGTCAAGGCGGTCTCACTGACTTGTCGTGTTGCCACTGTGTGAGAAGAGATGCTTAGTCCGTTGGATTTGTAACGAGATCTGTAATACCGTCTCTCTGGAAAACAAGGGAAAAGAGACATTTTTGTTAATTGTTTACCATTGCAAGAATTGGTTTCTCCAGATTTTGTTTCTGTGAAAGGCACATGAAAGATTTCTTCATCTTAATTTTGCCAACAAGTTGCAACATGTGGATAATAAGAATATTTGGAAATAAATAAAATACAAATTATACAATTGATTATACTTAATCAATTATACCCAATCTCCTGCACCAGTATGATCCTATGTTAGAAGTCTCTGTTATGACAGAGAAGAACGTATGACACTGGACAACGCTGACATTATTGTAATATAATCCCTCTTCTAAAGTTGTCTTAATTAACTAAGTAATTAAAAAACCCTAATCATCCTTCTGGATTTTGCCCAGAATCTGACACAGAAGTATCTTTTCTTCCCTGATGTAACTTTTCACCATATACAGTTCAGAACGATTGTATTATGGGCAAAGTTAACAGCATAACAATTGGTGGCAAAGCAAAACAAACTTTTCTGTGAGAAATTTATTGCCTATTCTACATAACTTAACAAAACAACTCCATTTGAAACTTTTTATTAAAATAATAACGTGTGTCAGAACAAAGTAAAAGTATTAGAACGTACATATCTTCATTTTCAAGTTCCTAGCACCCTAGAATGGATTTTTTTGAGACAAGAACGGTCTATTTAAGGTTTTCTTCTATGACAGAATATTTAACATTCTTATTCTCAAAACCCTGGGCACATACATTTTCTCCAATCACTCATTTTGCATACCTGTTCTATGAACCCTTTTTTTTTCCAACTTGATACCCTACAGTGCCCACTACAGTCCTATGCTTCTGGTGGATACTACTTTACAGAAAACTTTTATCATCATTAATCTAGTGAGCTTCCCAGTTTGAATTAATTGTCATTTCTAACAAAAGGATTGTTACAAGGTAGGTGGAGAAAACTAATAACATTTTAGATAGGGCTGGATTCCAATTCCCACCATCTCCAGCTAGCATGGGCAGTGCTATGAGATAGTAGTAACTTTAACTCAACTACAGCTAGACAACAAGAGATCCTTTCTTCCTGACCTAAGTTATGAAGATCATGGATGAAAGTAGTAGATACCACTTTCTTGCAGTTCCATTGGACAACAGTATTCCCTATACTGAAGGAATTCACATGGATCTAACTAACAACTTTTAGTACATTCAATTATAAGAATGATGGGGATGGAATTTCAGGTCACATATTCTTAACTTACAGTACAAGCACAGACAAATTCAATTTTACTTTAGAGGAGGAGAAGTCAAACCCTAAGTGCCCCAAGGAAAAACATGTGCACATTCCAAACTCTTAAAGAATTATGAAGTCAGGAATTTGTTTCGAGTCCCTGAACATGCATTTTTCCATGTCTGCTTGCCTCAAGCTTTTTTTGTTTACAGTAAGTTATACTTTTAAATAAGGAGTCATTTTATAGTTACTATTGTTATAGGACAATATAACAATAGTAGGACAACTGAAAATCCTTGTATATTATTCAGATCGCTACTGATAGTTTCTCCTCTAGTTTCTACCTGCTCCTGAACTATAAAGCTGTACCATGTCCTTTTTCTTCTACTTCCTTATATCAAACTGTATGCTGCATGAGAAACAGGGATCCTTCTACTTCTGGGAAAGGTATGGCAAACTGAAGACAATTCTGTAAAGTGCAACTAATGACCAGGTCCTAGGAACTTCTCCAGATAAGGAGAAAATGGGAGATCACCCATATATGCTTTAGGACAGTAGTTTTCTGCAGGTTTGAGTGCTGGGAAACAAAGAGGTCAGCTATTGCTCACAAGTGGAGCCTTTTAAAGGACACTAAGTTTGCAAATCCCACAATACTTTTGGAAATTGCCAAGCCATTGTAAACCATTGTAAACCATTAGAGACCTTCAAGACAAGTTTTAAAAGTTTTCATCAGGTGAATTTATCTTCAACTCTGAGCAAAAGAAAAATCAATTACAGGCTTAAGAACTTAAAAGACCTTGAAATAAATAGCAAAATTTTGACCTAAGATGGTTATAAATGGATCAAGGGTTCAGATGAATATGGAGTATTGATTTTCACTATAAGATTTTGAATTCTCCTTTTGGCTCTCCTGGTTATTGCAAATCAGAACAAAGATAAGTGATGATTTTAAACAGCGGAAAGGACTAAAGGTTCTAAGCAGAAGAAAAAAATGCACATTTGTTTTTGGTGTCAATTAATACTCCGACTTCCAAAGCGATCAAACATTGTAACATTGGAAATATTAAATGAGTTATTTGAAGAATGGAGCCATAAATTAGTCCTTACAATGTCAATATTTGTTGGTAATGACAGACTAGGTTCAAAATATATTAATGAAGTAATGACAGATATGGAACAAATTTTATCTGATAAGATAGAGAAGGTACTGAAAGTGGAACTACAAATAACAGATCAACAGAATAATTTGGAAAAGAACACTTTACTGGGTATTAAAACATCTTTGATTGATGGGTGTTGCCCAGAATTGCTTTTGATTAGATTTGATGAAAAGTGATGGGAGAGGAGGACAGGAGAAGAGGGAGGGGAGCGGAAGGGAGGGAAGACTGGCCAGAGTTTTAAAAATTAAAAAGACAAATGATAAACCAAGAGAATGACCTGTAAAATGTTTTCTTACTTGATTTACAAAAGAGGCTTGCCAAAGCCTTGAATAAATTTGTATAATAGGTTAAAGAAGAATTGAAGAGAAATTAAATCCTAAGACTATATTTGACTGAATTAAAAATTAAGACTGTTAGGAGTAAAAGAAAGAAAAAAAGTTGGTTTATTTGATCAAGGTTAAAGTAATTTTTTGTTGGTTTGCAATGCTCTGGCAAACCATTTACCTTTTGCTGACACCAGGACTAAAAGGTTGGTATGTTATGGATTTATTTATAGATGAAGGATGGGATAAGGGATGGAAAGATTACAGAAGCTGAAGTGTTCTTAAATTTGTTTACACTGTAACGATGTTTGGAAGTCATTTCCTTTGTTTTTGCATGTTTTATTATTTCCATTCTCTTCTCTTTCTCTAAGTTTCATTACATTAGTTTTTATTATTGTATTTAAATTCTGAATAAAAGTTATATTAAAAAAAAAAACAGGAATCTTCCTAAAATACAGCTGCTTTAATAATTCATGGACAAGTACTATATTCATGGTCCCACATGTACTAAAGCACCTCTTCTAAGATCATAGAGACAGTGTATAGGTAGCCCTCAACTTACAACAGTTCATTTAGTGACCGTTAAAAGTTACAATGGCATGAAAAAAAGTGACTTATAACTATTTTTCACGGACCCATTGCAGCCAGCCCATTATCATGTGATCAAAATTCAGATGCAAATTAACGGATTCATGTTTATGATAGTTGTGTCCCGGGGTCATGTCATCAACTTTTGTGAACTTCTGATAAGCAAAGTCAATGGGGAAGCCAGATTCACTTTACAATCATGTTACCAACGTAACAACTGCAGTGATTCATGTTTTAGCAACTGTGGCAAGAAAGATCGTAAAATGGGGCAAAACTCTCATAATAACTGTCTCACTTAGCAATATCAATTTTTGACTCAATTATGGTCATAAGTCGAAGAGTACCTATACTATAGTGGTGAAGATGCTAGACTAGCATTGGGGAGATTCAACTTCCAGTCCACACTCAACATTTAAAGTTCACTAGACGAATTTGGATCAGTCACTCACTATCAACCTAACCTGCCTCACAGAGTTGTAGAGGAAAGGAGACTAGAGAGATGCTGTGTGTGCTGGTATCCTCACAATACTTCATACTATTCTGAAAACATTTCCAATACACCTCAGAGAAAAGTATGACATCAATAAAACTCAACTTGCTTTTTTTCTCTCCAGCAGACATCTCCCTTTATAGTTCTGCTCAATCGAAACACTACATCCAAAATAGCTGCTGCAACGTTTATTATTGCAGCACAGGAAGAATTCAGAAATGGCTCACCACATTTTACAGCACAGTACACTTTCACAAGACTAAGCATTAAAAAATCATCTATGGGGAAAGTAATCATAGCTAGCTTGCTGCGTCACCAAGACAGAAGTATTAAATAAGCACAACACCCCAAATTTCCGATAGAGTAATATTTCATTTTAAAGCTTCTATCAAATTAGCTAGCTATTGGTTAAGGCACTAGGCTAACATCATGAATTCTAGTCCCACCTTAGACATGAAAGACAGCTGGGTGGCTTTTTTGGGCCAGTCAGTCTCTCTTAGCCCAATTCACCTTACAGGATTATTGTTGTGAGAAATATAGGAAGAGGAAGGAATATTAGGTATGTTTGCCACCTTGTGTTAATAATAACAGTGGGATTAAAAATAATAAAGGTGGGATTAAAAAAAACCATCTAATCTAATCTAGCTCTTCCTTAGTCTTCATAGATGTAGTTGTAATGGATTTACTTCTAACCAATTCATATCTGAACTGAACTCCGCTTAAGCTAATAGCTGATTCTTCTATTTGCAATGGTTATTAAAGAACATTGAATTAATCAATTTTGTCTCAATATTATCCAAACCTATAACTGGGAGCAAATATTAGCAGTTAAAATTTTCACCATTTAAAGCTCTCTTCTTTTTTTTTCCAACTCGTAATACATGTCAGGAATGAAACACTGAAACAAATCTCTTAAAGAGAAAAGATAGCTACTGAGGTGTAGCCACCCTTTATCTGATAACCAAGAATTATATAGTCAGAAAGTCCATTCCAATTTGGCCACAAATCAGAGGCTGCTGTGAAGCAGTACTTTGTAAATTCCATGCACACTTTCATTCATGCTGGAAACTCAACCCTGTATATTCGTTTCAATCTGCAAGGATCAACACACAGAGAACACCTGTCTTAAATGATAGTAGTAGTCCCACAGCAAGTTCTTTTAAGTCTTTTGTAGGCCAATAAATTTCTGCTTGGGTAATATTTATAGCTATTTATTTCTTCAGTAACAGTCTCT